AAAAAAAAAAAACGGTTTTTACGAGCAGTCAAAGAAACGCTCACTTTATCTACTAAATGTGTGCCCTTATGTCGTTTTAAAACATTTTAAATCCTGCATTACCTTTTCATATGGTATTTTCATACAAGGTTAGATATTTAGATTTTTTTTTAACCTGCAATATGCTCTTTAAGTAAAATCAATAGTGCATACTTTTTACTTTTACTTCGTTACATTTTGCAGCAATTATTATACTTTCTACTCCACTACAACGTTCTGTTACATTTTCTGATCAGTTTTCCCCTCTGCCAAAACGTCATCCTGACCGTCCGTTCGTCGCACGTTTCTGTCTCACCAGTGAAGTTTGGTTGCCATAGATATATCAACCCGGTCACACTAAATGCGTCTCTATAGCACGCAGTGTGTTTATCGTGCAATTTATATGCGAAAATTAGTTTTTACATGCATAGGAAACGCATTGGTAGGTTTAGTAGTGATGTGGGGTGCGTGTGTATTATACGTTTGGTTAGGATTAGTATGGCAAGCCAAGAGGTTCAGAATTACGCCATAAATGAATCGCGTTTACAGCCAAACGCCTTTATATACGGCGTTTTAACATAATATTTGTATTTATATATATACCATATATAGTAAGGGCATATAGTAAGCTTGATGTGTATATTGCCTAATTGCAAGCTTGTTCAGAAATGGTGACAAACTTAAAATATAACTGCTTTTCCATCATATTGAACATCTTTATATGAGTATTAGGTTGAATGAGTTAGAATTAACTGTTTTATTAATCATTAGAATATAGACATTAAGAGAATAAATTGTTATTCAAGTACTTTTACTTTTAATACTTAAAGTACATTTAAAATCAGGTACTTTTTTACTTAAGTAGGGTTGTCATTGTGGTACTTCTACTTTTACTAAAGTAAATATGTCTCTGGTTATTTGTACTTTTACTTAAGTACTGAGATTCAGTACTTCCTCCACCACTGCTGACAACTGCATGCTTCACGTCAGAGTGAGGCGGAGGATGATGGATTGACGTGCATGTTGATGTGTAATGGTGTACTGCTCATCACTAGGTGTATTCTATGGAGGTGTATGCATTGGAATGGCTGGTGTCGCCTCTATGATGGGCAATATACTGCAGGTAAATCTATTCCATGCACAAAGCACATTTTAATGTAATACTCCAATAATGTCCCTGCTTGAGGTTTCATTCAATCCATTGAGTTTTTCACTGTCTCGCCCTCTGCTGATAACAGACTGTAATGACATGCTGTGAATCCCTTCCTCCACAGGCAGCTCTGTCCATATTTGGTATGATCAGTGGACCTCTCTTGGGCCTTTTTTTGCTCGGCATGTTCTTCCGCTTTGCGAACTCCACTGTAAGAACTTATATATTTCAGGTGTCACTTTCTTAAAGGTGCTCAAGTATTTTTTCCCACAGCAAGTGGGTATTTCTACAGCATCAGTAACCATAAATGTTTGTAATTCTACATCCACACCAGTAGCTCTTTTGAAATAAATTTCAAGACCACTGTCATATACACAAAAAGTACTTTTTGCACTTTTAACACTAAACAAAATTCATACAAATTAACTATGTACTGTTTTCAACAGGGAGGTTTAGCTGGTTTGATTTCCGGGCTGGTTATAACGTTATGGGTGGGAATTGGAGCTCAGTTGTATCCTCCTTTACCTGAGAAGATCCTCCGCCTTCCTTTGAGTGTGGAAGGATGCATTGCACAGGACGTGAATGTAACCACCACTATGATACCATTCAGCACAGTCCTACAAACCACAACTCCACAGTTAGTAGTGCACATACACACACACGCACAACAAATAAAAAGTTTGGAGTTAGTACGATTTTTGAATGTTGCTGAAAGGAGTCTCTTATGCTCACCAAGGCTGCATTAATTTGATCAAAAATACAGTAAAACCGTAATACTGTGAAATTGTATATCAATTTAAACTAACTTTTCTTAATATGTTTTAGAATGTAATTTTTTCTTGTGATCAAAGCTAGCCTGGGTTTCCCCATACTGCCTTTGCGGAGCACAATTTTATTCACGCTGCTAGGCAGTCTGGATACCATGGACCAAATTTTCGCCTCATCTAGGGAACCAATCACAGAACGGGGAGGGAGCAGCAAGACGACGACGACGACGATCAAACATGGCAGCAGACGCCAAGTTACCTTTTGATGCAGCCTTAGATATTAGGCTTGTTCGACTTTAACCGGCGCTGCACAGAACGATCGGTGAAAGACATCAAAGTACCGCGAGAGCGATTAGAGAGCAGACGGCTCACGTGCTTTTCAATCGCTCTCGCGGTATTTTGATGTCATAAACCGATCAGTCTGTGCAGCGCCGGTTAAAGTCGAACAAGCCTAATATCTAAGTAGTTTAGAACGCAAATAAATCTCCGACCCATCGTCTTCTTCCTCGTCTAATTTCTTTCGCTCTACATCTGGTATAATGGGCTCTATGCACGGCGGTATTTCCGGTGAAGGTCTAAGGATGCTGGATTACTTCCGCCGATCGTAGAGTCCAATGCTATACCGAGAATTTATATTGGTTTTTATACTCTATTGCTATACTAAAGAAACGTTAGTCACAAAAACAGACAAAACAGACACCCCTCATTTTTGTTTATGCTTCTTTGTTTATTATATTAAATAAACATAACTATATATAAAATTACATCTAAACGTATTGAAGTTTCGTTTCAAAGACGAGAGGACAGTAAATTTGGAAGACTGCCATAATCCCGTTTTCCTCGGTTTTCCTCCGCTTTAAATCTCCCCAACCGGAAACGCACGAGCATCCTTGCATCAAACGCGGAAGTTATGCGTGCATATAGCCCATTGAAACGATTGGCTATGAGCAACGTACAGGCGCATTTGATAGACATTCGTAGCAGCACCCAATAAACGGCTCTGGGCATTCGCAAACCACGCCTCAAATACGAGAAAATGAACATTCTCGTCTCACGTCTCGTTAGCCAGGCTAGATCAGAGCTTAATTTTCAGTATCATTACTCCAGTCTTTAGTGTCACATGATCCTTCAGAAATTATTCTAATATGCTGATTTGATGCTAAACCCCCCCCCCCCCATTATTATTATTACCAATGCAATGTTGAAAACAGTTGTGCTGCCTAATGTTTCTGTGGAAACCATCATCATTTTTTTTCAAGATTATTTGATGAATAAATTAAAAAAACATTATTTTTCTTTGAAATAGAAATATTTTGTAACATTATAAACATCTTTACTATCCCTAATTTGCACTAACATTTCATGTATTCTTGCTAAATAAAAGTATTAATTTATTTCTGCTGTTGTTTTGATGAAATCTATACCACTCATATTTCAAAAACTAACAAATACACTGACATTAAAGCTAACTGTAACTATCTCATGCTGTCCTTCAGGCCAAGAGCAGCTTTGGCAGACACCTGGTATTCTCTGTCCTACCTGTACTTCTGCCCTGTGGGCATACTAGTGACCATGATCACAGGACTAATCGTTAGTGCAATCTCAGGTAAGATGACACTTTCTCATATGCCTTTTGGTGAGGCAAACACTCAAAGACTGAACCTAAACTCTGATTTTTTTTTTTTTAACTTTAGGTGGCTGTAAGCAGAAGAAAGCTCGGCCTGAGCTCTTTATCGGAATGTCAGATCTCATTTGCTTTGGCTGCAGAAACTCAGACTCAGAGGTAAGACCTTTTATTACCAGTGTGACAAACACGGTCCAAAAATATAGGGATTAAAGATCATAATTTAGGGGACGTTTACACAACAGTTTTCAACTAAAACTGAAAACTTTTTATGAGATTTGGTGTTTATTTACACTACAACAGCGTTTTGGGGGTCTGAAAACACAAACTTTTGAAAATGGGTTTCAAAGTGCACGTTTTTGAAAACAATACCACAGTCGTCTCCGTGTAAACTACAAAATACGTAGCGTTTCTTTAAAAAGTGACATCACCAGCTACTGGCCTGGCAGCATAATAAAGCGTTTTCAGTTGTTTTCACGGATCCGTGTGAACATAGATCATTTTGACAACGTTGTCGTCTGTATGTGAAATATTTATATAATTGTATATACAATTGTTAAAATATTGTAGCAATGCAAACATATATATTTACATAAAAAGTTTTAGAAATGTCTGCAGTAAATATACATTTTTCTAGATGCTTAGCTGTTCTGATTGTTTCATTGCTGAAGTTTTAGTAAAGCTGCTTTGCAAAAGACATTTATTAACGGCATTGCATATTTTTTTCCTTTATAGGTGTCAGACTTAATTGAAAAACAGCCAAACCACATCCAGGGTCTGGACAGTCCAGTTTTCTATGACAATGAAATTACACTGAAAGAGAAAGACCACATGGAGAAGATCACAAAGTTTTAGATGTGAATACATTGTAAATTGTAAATTATGACTGTACTTTTGTATGTTGAAATTGCTAAGTGATGATGATAAATTCATTTCTTTTAAACCTTCCCACAAGAGAAGCAAGAAATTAATAGCAAGCATCTATTTTTAAGCATCTAATCTATCTACTTTATATTGTATGGGCTGTTCTCATAAACTAAACATTCTGCGATTTTCATGATCAAGTTTTGAATAATTTACACAGCTATATTTAGTCAAAAGTTTTGTATTAAATCTGAATGGTTTTTAAATAAAATTTGACAAATGATTACATGTCAAACTCACTGAGTATCATTCACACACACACACACACACACACACACACACACACACACACACACACACACACACACACACACACACACACACACACACACACACACACACACACACACACACACACACACACACACACAAAGGAAAAGGGGGAAAAACACTTCAGAGTGAAGTACACACACGGGTTAAAAATGGCTGAGCACTTGCCTTCTTGATGCTGGATAAGGAAGTCAGTCATTCAAGGCCGGCCCACTCTACCTGTTTGTTTGACGTGGAGCCGAGCCATTTTCTTTAGGGAGTGGAAAAAGCATTGAGGCTGCAGCAGGTGGGGGAGTGTAATAACTGCTGCGAGACACTTCCTGGTTTCACTAACCGGGTTCGTTTCAGCTTACAAGGTAAGATCTGCTCTTGTTGTCATATATTAATATTGTTTATATATATATATATATAAACTACAACAATTACGCAAACAAGAGGGTATAGGAGAACGAAAGAGAGATGAGAGAAAGAGATAGAAGTAAAATTAGTTTCTTAAGATTCATAACATACAATTGTTCTCAAAATAATTTACATGATGTAAATTCTACAAAATAGCGAGAATGTTAAATTATGTGAGGAAAGTCTGTGATGGATGGCATTAATAAAACCGGTTGCTCATGATTGTTTGTTTAACTTATGCAAAATTCATGTGACTCTTTCCTGTCTTAAGTTTCATGTCAGTGCCATTTTAGATATACATAAATTTAGAAGAAGATAAGTCATCATTATGTGTTCTAAACATATACAGTATGGATTTTATGTTTTAATCCAGGACAATAAAAGAAAAATGTATTGTTTGAATGAAGTGACTATAATCGACTGATTATAGTAGTAAAATACTAAGGAAGTCATGATGACTTTATTTAATTTTTTTACCAGAAATAAATGGCCTACTTAGTAAATGGAATCTTTGTGCGCCTAACAGGAAACCACATGTCAACACCACATACAGATAAAACACACTGAACTAAGTCATGCGCTGTGTGAAAGTGTATGCCTTTATCTTTTGACCAAGACTGACTTATGCTCTGTGTATGTTTTTTTTGTTTTTTAAGGAGAAAGCAGTTGCAACAGTTATGGGTGTGTTAACACTTCGGCTTTTAGTATGTGGCCAACTAATATTGTTTTCATTGGTTGTGAATAATATAACCAATGCACAGAAGATCGGTGAGTCACCATCAAAAGCTCCACCTCTGAATGCAACAAGAAACCACACAGAGGACAATGCTTCAAATTCATCCAGCAATTCAGCATACAATGATAGTAGTACAACTCAAAACAACTTGAACACACAGACGACCCCTACTGGCTTCAATAGTACTTTGGGACCAATCCAAAGCAATACTACAGTCACAGGATCAGCAGTGCAGCCAAACTCAACAGAAAACGGTCAGACAACCCAATCAGCCACATTCACAACAATCAAGATCAATTCAACAGCTGTCACTTCTACAGACAAAAGCACTCATGGCAACAATGAAACTGCTGCATCAAGCACTACACCAGTGACCAAACAAACAGCGATTACTTCTCCCACTATAACTCAAAATGGCACAACTTTTTCCAATGAATCTCAAGGTAGGTTTGAACATATCCTAGCATTAATAATGTAAGCCAAATAATGAAATATGTGTATCCTGCTTAACTATTCATACCTCTATTTTAAAGCAGGTGGTGGCCTGAATCATTCAGAGAAATCTCTGACTATTTTATTCAGCATTCTGCTTGGTGTAATAGTTCTGGTAATTCTGATGAACTTTGTGTACAAGTACGGCAGAAGCAAAGAGAGAAGTATCCAATATACTCATCGCCGTCTCCAGAATGAAGATACAGGTTAGAAGAATCTGTTATCTGTTTATGATCTTATCAGTGGTGTTTACCAAGGTAACAGTCTTTTTTTTTCATAATAAAAAAATCCAAACAATTACTCACAGCTGATGACACCATAGAAATGGGTTATTGTCTGGGAAAGTTGTCAGGCAAATTCCAACTCCATGCCATCAATTTGTGCATGGGCAAGCCCATTTAATCTAGTTTATAGTTATCACAAAGATTATATACTCATAATAAAAATTATGAATAGTATTACAGTATTGTCTGTAAATTGCTTTCACAGGTGAGCCGTTTGCAGTGCCAGATGACACGCTGGTTATTTCAGGAGGACTCTATGACGGCCCTCAGATTTACAACCCCACCATGACAGTGCAGAACGAGGAAGAATTCCAGACAGACATACCTGGATCTGCTTCCAGACCTACTCGGTTCCGCTTGGAGTTTCTGAGAGAGAATCAAGACAGAGCATTTGACAACGAGCCCTCCACCTTTCAGACATTTCATGCACATGACCAAGAGCCTTAAGATCTCAGCAACAAACCTCTTTTTATTCAAAAAACAAAAACAAAAAAAGGTTTTTTCAGTTCACATTTTGAGATGAAAATGTTGCTTTTACTTAAAGCTTCTATGAAAAAGGCTGTTTTTAAACGGCAATAAAAAAAAAAAAACTTTGAACTAATGAAATTACTGAACATAACAGAAAAACACAAATATAAATGTAAATACACAAATATAAATACAAAGATTTGTAACTGCAACCAACAACTGTACCAGGAACATCTTTTGATAAATATCGTAAAGTACTGTATATTAACTGAACATACTATGACGTGAAATTGTTTTGAGAGCTTAGAATAAATAATATAAATATTTCTGCCAATTCAAACACCAGTATAAATTGTAAACAATCAAAAGCTATTGTCTAAGGAGTGTCATGTGCACTATGTAATTAAAAAACAGAAAAAAAAGAATCATCACATTTTGTATGCATACAGTTTCAAGCAAAGATTTTGTCTGTAACTTTTTTCTTCTTCTTATCTGAACTGCTAACGGTGGTCCATCCAGCATCTCGCATTCTCTTCATTGCAGCCAGTTTCAGCGCTGTTCCTGGAGACTTACACATGAAAGAGCTCTGCACCTGCACATCATTTGCACATGATGACAGTCAAAATAAGAACATAAAGACAATTTTTGAAAAAAAAAAAACTGGTCAAATGTGATTTTTTTTTTTACCTTCTTGACCATGTCCAAACTCCCAGTGTTTGGGTCTTTTGGCTGCATAGGTTTCTTTGATTTAACAGGTCTTGGAGAGAAACTCTGCACACCAGATTAAGAAGGAATTAAGAAAGAGTAAGAAACCACAAGCCTAACGATTTACTTGAGTTGACCACAAATAAATAAGCAGAGCACTAAGGAGTCTGTTTATAGCACAATACTAATGGTATGCGAATAGAGTGACAGTAGATACAATTTACCAGTATGTCATTGCTCTCGGAGTTGTCTGACTTTGGGTCCAGCTTCAGAATGTTTTTCTTCCAAGACCCCTTAATCTCAGGTGAGGGTGGTGTGCAGATTCTGAATGACTGAAGCAAAATTAATGAATAAATAAATAAACTGTCTGGCTGGTACAAGATGAATAATAAGATGGTATTAAGATGAATAATAGCTAATGTAAACAATTTACGTTGCCTCCATACCTTTATTTGAGGCGTTCGAGTTTTTCTGCTCAGGCTCCATAATGGGGTATGAAGGACTTTGTTCACTTCTCCCTTGCACCAATAATAATAAAAAAAGACTGTTATATGATAGATGTGAAGAATATGTACAAAATGCACAAAGATAATGAAAAAAAAAAAAACCTACAGTAGGAGTGTAAGATGCATTTCTTGATGGAGTTTCATATTCTTCCTCATACAGAGTCTTCTTAGTGGTGCCAGCTTTTTGAGTTTTAGAGATCTTGTTTCCTCCCTTCTTTGGTTTGATTTCAGTTAGCTAAAACAAGATTTTCATGTTGTACTGTTCACGTTAAATTGCCATGTATACCTATGGTATCTCAGTTGACAAGGTACAATACCTGGTAAAGTGTGTCTTTTTCAAGAGATGAAACTGGTGTCCTCAAGCCCATCTTTTCTTCTTTGAGCTTTTCAAGTTGTTGTCTCAGCTCATCATTTTCTACTTGCAGGTGGGACAGCTCCAGGTCCTAAATTTATTGGTTATTTGGTTTTTAGAGATATTACATATTATACCTACTAAAGGTACAGTCTCACTTCAGCAACCTTTGGTTAAATGTCTCAAACACAATGATAACTCTACAATAAATGTAATTATTAATCTTTTGGACCTAGGACTTTTGGATTAGCATTAGGGGTGTGCACGACTATTCGATCTGTAATTATTATTCGAAAAAGCAGTGAATCCACGATAAATCCCAAGCACTAGCTCGCAGTTATAATTAAATGCACTGGGTGGCGCTGTGGAGTGTGTTAACAAGTTGTGAGTATTTGATCACATAATGTTGTTGTCTGCCTCGCGAAGTTTGGAATTACTTACTATTTTACTAAATGATCTTACAAAATGGAATTACTTTTGATCAAATGAATTAATTAATCTGAGTTATAATATCATCACCACAATGAGAAATCCCAGGAAATCCAAACAGTCGAATGAGGAAAGGCAGCTGACCAACACTGCATTCACGACTGCAGGTAAGCGCAGCTGGACCCCGCGTGATCCGAAATGATAACTTGTCTAATAGCAAAATGATTTTGAGACATATACTTCCTTTAAGTATCTTTGAGGGAGACCGGTTTAAGAACAGAAAACGCAAAGTGCTGTTAGAAACTTAGAACACCGATATCTTTGTATCTCTGAAACGTCTGTCTACCTTTTCTCACTCGAGCATAAATTGCTGGCGGCACCCCTGCATGTGGATATTATTGTTTTTCTCAACATAAACATCTAACAATATAAACACGATAATCATATGCTGACTCGAGTGTGTGTGTACGTTCTGTACGATATCTGGCGCAATCTGCTTTATTAGGCTTTTTTTCCATTTGCGCTGCTTGAGCATGCTTTTAATAATGCTTTTGTTTTTTATATTTTTTTGTTTACACATAGGCCTACTGTTTAATGCTTTCAACTAGGGCTGCACGATTTGGAGAAAATGTCATTTTGCAATTATTGAGGTCAATATTGCGATTGCTATACAATAAACAAATGATTTCATGAGTCAACTTGCTTGATTCTAAAGCAAAATGCGCACACAGATTAGTGATAATTCTGAAATGTGTATTTCTCAACTCAAACTAGCAACAACAACTAAATGATTGATAACATCTATAATGATCAATAAGCCATTGAGGTCTGGATAAAAATTAATCCACCCCCATTTAAAACATTAATTATAGCCATCCACCATTACAGTGATTCCACAATTGAAAGCTATAATTTTTTCAAAAACATTTATTAGGCTTCAAAAAATATAACAGCTTTTAATTTAAGTGAACTTAATAATACTCACATAAACCCATTAAAAAAGTCTTATTTATCTGTGCCCTTCCTGTCAGGTAGGACATATACAGAATTTGAAGTTATAAAACAGTCTGCACTTCATAAATTATAAATTATATATAGACTAATCCTTATTAAAGCTATACAAGTTCTTTAGTCAAGAGCAGTGAGTAATTTTCTTTGTTCTTTGATTAACTTTACTGACAGAAAGCTTTGGCTGCGCACTGTCTTTTGACTTGTCGCGCATTAATGGTTTGAACTAGTGCAGCACGAATAATCGTATCGCAATCGTAATCGCGATGTCAAACCTATGCGATTATATTAGGCAAAATGCCGCGATTTTATATGAAATAAACAAATTAGGGCTATTAACGCAGCATCTCTTCTTTTTTGTCATCCTTTGACTAGTGTTACATGATCCCGCTCTTCGTGCAAATGCCTTAAAACCATTTTGCACGACAAAAAAGTCAAAAGAGAGCGCGCTGCCTGTGAATGTCCTGAATGTGACTCACAGAAAAACGCACGCCAGTATAATGCGCATGCACAGACCGGGTGCCAGAATACAGTTCTCTTTCGAGCTTGAACGAACAATAACACACACAATTATGCCAAAATGTCGTTTTGTCGATTATCTTCATAACATAAGAGCAGTCTTATGATGGACGAAAAGAGTTGTGCTTGTGAGAGAATGAGGCGCGTGTGAGATACGCGTCTCGGCAACGGCTGCTCTTAAAGGGCCAGCAGCGAATAAAGCGTTCCGTCAGTAAAGTTAATCAAAGAACAAAGGGAACAGAAAATTACTCACTGCTCTTGACTAAAGAAGTTTTGTAGCTTTAATAAGGATTAGTCTATATATAATTTATAATTCATGCAGGAATACACTGCAGGCTCATCTCTCGCGTATCCAAGGTAAATCATCAACACTATCATCCCTTAATTACATGTGTTTTATTTAACTAAATGCATCATAATCTGCTAAAACGCATGGGCAGGTTACTTATGTTCCTGAACAAGCGGGTACCCGAGTCCGGGTTGCTTTCACATTCACGCGAACCGCGGCACGGGCCCGTCATGCACGCAAGTGTAAACGGGAGCTACATAACTGCGTGCCTGCCTGCTTTCAGCGCGACTCATTATTAGGCAGAGCTAAGAGTAGTGGGCTAGTCCAGACTCTTTCAATTCAATTCCAATTTATTTGTATAGCGCTTTTCACAATATCGTTTTCAAAGCAGCTTTACAGAAAATGCATTGCATCTACTTTACTATTCAGAGTGATGTTATCAGTTATGCTTTTCAGAAATGTACATAAATTAATACATTATTAGCGTACTGTACATTTTTTAAGGCAGAACAAAGAGCTAATTTAAGTAATACATACATGTTTGTTATTAGAGGATTAGATTAGGACTCTGACTAATATGGTATAGCCTAATGGAAATGCAGATACTTAATGTTTAGATTGTTAATACATAATGTTTTTGAACAGGTGACATTTTATGTTTTGGCCCTTCAGTTGAGTTCAAAATAAAATGGACACAACGAAATAAACACTTGATTTTTTTTTAATTAGTCGTTTAGATTAGTCGACTAATCGAAAAATTAGTCGAAAGATTAGTCGTTACAAAATTAGTCGTTAGTGGCAGCACTAATCGCAATATTGACCTTATTAATCGCAATATGACATTTTCCTCAAATCGTGCAGCCCTAGTTTGAACTTTAAAGCATTCGCACGAATAAGAGCGGGATCATGTAACACTAGCCAAAGGATGACAAAAAATAACAGATGCTGCGTTAATTGCGTTAACAGCCCTAATTTGTTTATTTTACATAAAATCACAGTATTTTGCGTCATATAATCGCATAGGCTTGACATCGCGATTACGATTGCAATATGATTAATCGTGCAGCACTACTTTCAACTAAAAGAAACTAACATACAGTATATTGTAAGCTTGTTGTGTATATTGCCTAATGGTAAACTTGTTCAGAAATGGTGACAAAAACGTAAAAAAAATTAAACTTAAAAAATGCCCATCCCTAATTAGCATCTCAGGCATCCAATGACAACTCAGTTATGCTGAGTATGATATTCAGTGCAAACAACAGAATTCAATATTTACCAGGGATGCTTTGCTTGCGTTGACTTCAGCTTCTTTCATTCGTTTTTCACTCAGCTCAGCATCTTTTTCTTCTACCATTTTGTCATACTCATGCTGCAAAGAAAAGAAAATACATTAAGATGAATGAAAAGTGCCTAAAAACTAGGGCTTCCCCCTAATAGTCGACTAGAAGAGGCTTGGTCTACCAAAAAATTGTATTAGTCGGTTAGTCGCAGAAAAAAAAAAAACCCTCCAAAGGAAGTGGAAAAATCAGGCAGGAGTGCGTTTCCCGAAAGCATCGTTATCCAACTATGATCGCAATTTCCATTGAACTCTATTGGTAACGACGGAACTTGCGACCATAGTTGGCTAACGATGCTTTCGGGAAGCGCAC